TATATATATATATAATAGATAATATATATATATATATATAAATATATTATATATATATATATATATATATACACATATATAAATATATATATATATATACATATATATATATATATATGTATATTATACACACACATATATATATATATATATATGTGTGTACGCAAGGAAGCACATGTAAAGATATGTATTTGTGTGTAGGTATTTTACTAATTTATTCATTCTACTTTTGTAGATACGTGCATGAAAATTTGAACCCGTAAATTACTTCCAGCTGTAAGTTAGGAAATATTACCCGCATCTCTGTTTACCTGCCCACATTAGTATGTATTTTACAGCTGTTATCAGCAAATTTGTCTGATCCAAAATTTCCGAATGTGCATTGAAATCATATCAACATCACCGAGTTTTCAGGATAATCGCAGTGAATGTACAGTTATACTTGCATGATTCTGAAGAACAAGGCGGCAAAGTTTGAGTTGACGTTGAAAGACTAAACTTAGACTGGGAAATGTCATCCTTGTATGCTTTTGTATATCCATACCAGTATATTTGGTAATATCTAGTCGGCACAGTTTTTGGATAGTTGAGACTCCCACTGAATCAAACAATAAAGTCAAATGTGTGAACAAGACCTGCCATAAATTTGAAAGCTAAGGGTTGTCCATAGCATTGCCAACCACTTCTCTGGTTCACAATGCCAACCTGACAGACAAATTGCCTATATCTCTGCCCAGCCCCTTTGCTGATCCATTAACGAAATAACTTAATAGTTTCTGTAGTACGTGAGTGAGATGCAAGTAATAAAAGACATTACAAACGTGGCAGTTTGCCAATAGGAATAGGGGCTGGCGGGACGTGCAATGTCATTTTTTTAGTACCGTCTTTTGCTTGGCCGACTTCTTCTTTAATTCCCGCTGCTACCCCCTCGGCCAGCTTCTCTACGACGGAGCCTTGTTCTTTTACTGCCTCTTCTGCTTCCTTTTTGGTTGAGCCCATATTGTGCGATGTTGCTATTTATTAATACACTATGAGGGATGAAGGATGCATGTATTTATTCTCTACATCATGGTTACGGATCTTCCAGTATTCAAAAAGCACACACAAGAGAGAGAGGCTATGTGAAGCTGTGAACTGGCGTGAAGTGTATTGTTTTCTTTGTTTAAAAAAACAGCCTCCTAAAAACAGAACAAAAAAGCTTTGTGTTTTTTATAATATTTTTTAACCCCCCCCCGCCCCTCCCCCCGCTAAAAATAGTACCATTCCACGGACCACGGTACGACGCCACGAATATAAGAAAATAAATGGCGCCTTTTCAATATTGTCCAAATGTAGTAAATACATAGAATGTATATCGTCATATATCATCTAAAAAGTGGACTGAGGTCTCGTGTCAATTGGTCATTAATCACACACACGAAGTCACGACTCTTCTCACAACTGGGGTAGCTCTTGTGGTCATCATTATTACACAAAAATAAATACATCATATAGTATTAAAAATATAATGACGAGAAGAAAGTTGAAGAGAGAGAGGAAACTCACGAAGCCTCCTCCAGAGTCCAGACTCCAGAGTCCCCACTCCCCGGTCCGAGATAGGAGCTAAATATCATGCATAACTTTACTACAAGCCTTCTAAATGTTTTTATTAAAAAAAAATACATAAACAGCTATGGTATTTACAGAACTACAGACTACAGTCAAATATTTACAGTTTGGCAGACTTCAGGCCCAGGGACAGTGACAGTTTCAACTCTCATCAGTCACTTGGACTCTCGGTCTGAGTCGGTCGGTCTTCCAGTAACCCCCGCCGCGGCCCAAGGCTGACACTGTGCCAGACGGTCAGACCCAGAATGTGCCACTGTGAGCCTATTTATTTCCTACCGCCCATAGAGGCCCATACACTTACCCCAGGGCCTACACAGGGTAAATTTTGTTTTGATTTTTATTTATAATATGTCTGTATCAATGAAAATCAAATATGTAGAGGTCTATTTTAGGTTATTTGTTTTGTTTAAAAAACAAAAAGACAAAAAAAACGAAAGCTCCTTTATTTTTGTTTTTGTTTTAAGAAAACAATGAAAAAATAAATTAAAATAGTAATAATAAGCAACTTCAATCCGTTAATGGGGTCAAAATAAAAGGTATACGGGTCAAAAGAATGAAAAGGTCGACCTAATAATCAAATTAAACAGATACTATATGACAACACTACTGATATTTTGAACCTTAGGACTCAAAATATGCACCTCAATTTAAAACCAGAGGGCCATCACATTATAAACGTTAGGAGTAAGCGTATATAATTACACTCCTTGTAGGACTCCAGGACACTATATCAGTCCTACTTTTTGGAGGCTTTGAAAAGATACCAAAAACAAGAAAATGGTTAAACAGATACGAATAAAAACAGATAAAAATCACAATCGCTCGTGAACGCCACTGAGCTGGCACTGTGGCACAGCGGCAGTATGCGGTTTTTAAAATAACGAAATATGTGTTGTATGTATGACTGTATGTATGTATTGGGACAAAGGAAATATAATCACTACATAATTTTAAATAAATAAGTGCATGTCGGTCCGTTGGCTAGTCCATATACTCCAGGTGGCATTTGTATGGTCTTGTCAGAACACCTTGAAAAACGTACACAAGAGCTTGCCATTACCGCATTTCCAAACATATCCTCAGAGCTGTGCATACATATACGGAACCATCATGAGTTCAAGTCAAACAGAAAGTCCTCCCTTGAGGTCAACAGAAGCGATTGCTAAAGATCTTGAAAAGAACCACTCTGAGGTAGGAAGTCCCGTATCAATGCCCTATCCCTTCTAATTATTCATTCAGGCTTGATTATATGTGTGCGTATGTATTTGACAATACAACAGTATCAATGCCCTAACCCTTCTAATTATTCATTAGGCTTGATTATATATGTACGTATGTACTTGATAATACAACATTTTTGTGTTTGAGCATTTATTGTAGTTTTGGGAGGAAATATTGATAATAGCTGTGCTCCCAGATATTGTGCATAGAATCTCCGACCACATATACACTAGATTGAAAAAAGTGAATGGATCTACATTTGTGAGGAATGTATTTCATGGGACCGTACAGGTACACATGCACACACACATACATACACACACAATCACACACACAAACACACAACCCCCCCCCCCCCCAACACACACACACACACACATATATATATATATATATATATATATATATACAACACACACACACACACA